GCTCTAATCCACACCCACACCCACACCCACACCACACACCCTCAAGCTTTGGAAGAAAACGTTCTAATGCCCTATATTCCATTAGAATGAAAATTGTGAATCAGAAAAAATTTAGTTCTATATATTGTGATTTTTTTATAGAAGCAAATGAAAATTTTTTCGACTGAATGACTCGAGTCACACAGTCGAGTCAACATCATCCGATTTCCGAGTCCGAGTCGAGTCCGAGTCAGTAAAAAAAATGTGACTCGAGTCGACTCGAGTCCGAGTTTTGACTCGGACTCGCCGATCCCTTGCACTTACATACAAACATTCGTTCAAACGCTTTTCTAAACTATCCGTTTTTTCTAGAAAAAACGCATTAAAAAGAACAACGTTATAACGCGTTTCGAAAAAAACTCGTTTTTCGATCAAAGAAGGCTAAAAAACGCATTTGAACGCAAAGCAAACAAACGCGTCCAAACGCATAAAACTAAACGCATTCAAACAGTGTTTTTAAGTTGCGTTTTAATTTAGAAAAACGCGTTCAAAATAAAAAGGATGCATTTAAATGCGTTGGAAAAAGACATCGATGCGTTTAAACGCGTTGAACTTACAAAAGGACGCGTTGAAACGCAAAAATAGCGTTCTTTTCTAAAAGTTTGCGTTGAAACGCATTTTTATACCAATTTTTTTTCCGTGGGCACGTCATATCGAAACCAATCTTATGAAAACTTTCCTATCATAATATTAACTAAAATATGATCAAATAGCATAGAAAGATAGAGCGTTTTTTTCTCTATCATTCTATATAAGAACAAAGTTTTATCAAGCTTACTAAGCGGCACTAAAATGTCGTTGCCACTACTTTTGGATACCCCTATGTAGATGAGAAAATGAAAGATGCTGAGAAATAACATTTTGAATTATTTTGGTCTTTTACTTGTATTTATTTGCTTTGCCTAAGAGTGCGTCATACATGCGATGAGAAGAAATGAAAAGTAACCGAAAAGTTTCTTGTTGGAAGGAATAATGACATTTTCTTCTTCTGTTCTTAGGATTTATTGCGAAAGAAATTATTTTTTTCAACAAAACCATAATTTTTCTCTTGTCAAACTTTCATGTTTTTGTCTCAGTTATGATATTTAGAAATCCTGCTTTATATATTTTTATTATAGATGAAGCAATCTACTATGTATTCTTGAGGTTGAGTGCCAGAAACATTTCTGATTTCGTATACTTTCATTTTCGAACGTTCTATCTTTCAACATAAATGCCACCTTTGTTTTCGATACTTTTACGGTTCCGGCATTAGTAGGACAGATCGGCTTGGTCTTATCAAGCTTTTGTGACTATATATATGGCGTTTCTATAAGACGCAGATATCTTTTATAGAATGAACCAGTATTTTCAACATTAGAAAGTGTCAGCTTTTCTAAAAGAATAATATGTCAGATTAGAACTCAAATATCTCCAAAGTAACAGTTGTAAAAAAACATATTAAGCTTTTCCTATCATGTACATTCTTGTATAAAAAGCATCTTTGAGTAAAAGCGGTATCTTTTCATGATAAAAAATGCATTCGAAAAAGTTAAGTGTAATGCAGGAAAGATCGTAGCGACGATAACAACGTATACTAATATCTATATTTATAAGCCCTGTAACAAATCTTGTAATAATAACAGCATTACAGAAAATTTTTCCAATAGTTTAAACAAATGAAAATAACGTTGCAGTCGATCTATATATTATTATTATTTAAAAAACAAGAAAAAAATATAGTAGCTGGCAAACTGCAGTTGTTAGAAATGAAATAAAGATTCAGGTAATTCCATTTTTTTCACTAATTCATTTAGTTTTTTTCGATCCAATGCGGTAAGTTCAAGATTTTTCACTTGTGCCATTTTATCTCTACTTAACATAGTACCAGCTTGCGAATCTCTATTCAATGCAGTCACTGCTTCTGGAATAAGTAATTTTGAAATACCGCAGACATCAAAAACAGCACTAAGAGTGCCTTCTGGTTTTGAAACCAGGTTTTCATATGTTACTTCTGGAAGAGCATAACAATGTCTATTCTTTAGAAAAAAAGAATAAGGAGCGCCAAAAATAACCATTGTTGATTCTAATAAACTTTGTGGTTTCACTTTATCACTAGTGCTTTTTTCATATTTATATCCAAACAACCACTTTCCTAATTTAGGAAAATTTGTGTTCAAGTACACAGATCCTTCCCAATCATATTCTTGCATCATTTTATATGAAGAAATAAGGGCCTTTTCCACATTTTCACGAAATTGAAATATGTGAAGAATTTCAGGAAGAAGTTTATGAATATGACCAACCAAGGCTGCACCATCCGATGGCATTTTCAGTATATAAATCTGATCTTCTGTCATATTTTTGCAATATGTATAAAATAGCGATCGAAGTATAGCATTGAATAAATCTGGAGACAATATGTTCTCATCATACATCATCACTAGATTCGTGAAAGCCATAGGTTCTGCAACAGTTACAACTTGCTGGCCAACTTGAATCATTTGCGTGATCAGTGTAGAACCACTTCTAGGGCAATTAGTGAAAAAAACCACTTTTCCTTTCATAGGTCCCAGTGAATGACATGCAAAAGTACAAAACTCTCTAAATAAAATCGATTAAAATACTTATAGAAATTTATCATCATAATTTACTTGATTGGCATTCGAGCTAATTTGAGAGCATCAGTAAATTGTTTTACGAAAATAAAAGGTGCATTTTTCACATTGTATTCTGAAATTGATTTTGGCAATAATGTAAAGTAAGCGTATCGTTCAGAAATTGTGTATAACACCCAATTTGGGTTATATTTCAATAACGTCTCAGCATCATGAAACTTATCATGTAACCACATAAAATCACAATCTCTGGAGACAGCACCCTCGACTGGCTGTAGACGATACAAAATAGTCAGAATTTCGCACTTGATAATAGGGGTATTTTTAGGAAATCGAAACCAATGTGATTGAAGATAGGCTGTGACGTCTCTAATAACGCGATAAATTATATAAATGATGAGTTTTAGTATATTCATCGCGTAGTTTAGACGAGAGAAGCGTATACACAATACCCGTTCGGTAGTGTTTATAATGATGATCATGACTAGTTCGGGAAGAAGAAGAGGCGATGTATGCAAATATTTTCAGCTAGATTGTGTAATCAGAAGATAAAGAAAAAAAACGATGTGCTAGCGATAAGAATAAATATAGGTGGCCGAATGCTGTTATCATAGTTTTGTAGTCAACTCTTTTAAGCTTATTGTGTCAAGATATTTCAGTGACAATACCTAAAGCATGTACAATACACCAAGTCCTATATTAAGAGTGCATCCTTAGGTCTTCAAGTCCTATACTAAGACGGTGCTCTTAGACGCCAGTACCCTGTATTACGGAAATATTTTTAGGCTCTGTATTGCTATATCGTGTAAATCAATTGGATGGTCATGGTGGGGTATATCAAGGGTGATTGAAGGGTAAACCATCTTAGTTTACACGGTTGGAAATAATATTATTCCAGGGGGTACCGCTATAATTTCAAATAGAAGACATAATGAATTCTATATCAAATGAAAGCTCGTCAAAAATGGAGTTTATTGATACCAAATAGTGAGGGTTATAAAAACTTTTTAATGTCAAACTTAAGAAATTTTATACTTTTTTGGGGTGAAAAATTAAAGTGCCCGTAATTCAAAAATGGAGTAAAATTTTTTTCTTGGATATTTTCACATGGTTTGATAGAGCTTGTCGAGCTCTACAAAACTGTATATGTTAAAAAGTTTTTAAGCCATCTTTTTGAGATAAAAAGTTCAAAAAAACTACTCGCTCAATCTCAAAAAACGTTTAAAAACTCTTTTTTTTTTCAAACTGAAGAAACACGCTCGATTTTTCAATAAAAGTAGCTTTTTTCATTATTTTTAGGATCTCAGACGTCTCAAAATATACTCATTCGATGCAGCGTGAAAACCTACGTCAAACGAGTATATTTCGAGACGTCTGAGATACTAAAAATCATGAAGAAAGCCACTTTTATTGAAAAATTGAGCGAGTTTCTTCAGTTTGAAAAAAGAAAGAGTTTTTAAACGTTTTTTGAGATTGCGCGAGTAGTTTTTTTGAACTTTTTATCTCAAAAAGATGGCTTAAAAAATTTTTAACATATACAGTTTTGTAGAGCTCGACAAGTTCTATCAAACCATGTAAAAATATCCAAGAAAAAAATTTTACTCCATTTTTGAATTACTGGCATCTTAATTTTTCACCCCAAAAAAGTATAAAATTTCTTAAGTTTGACATTAAAAAGTTTTTGTAGCCCTCACTATTTGGTATCAATAAATCCCATTTTTGACGAGCTTTCATTTGATATAAAATTCATTATGTCTTCTATTTGAAATTATAGCGGTACTTCCTGGAATAATATTATTTCCAACCGTGTAGTTTCCGTGAGTGAAAAAGAAGAAAATAAAAGGTACGCGACTTCGTACAGTCAAGGAACCTGTTACTTGTCACTTTTTCAAGTGCACATAACGCTCGGATTTAAATCCAAGATTTGTATGTTTATTTTGCCTTATGTTGTAGATCTGTTGATCGACTAACTTCTGCAGTAGTCACAGCAAAAAAAGCTTATTTCAGTCTTCTTAATTTGTTAACAAAACTATAACAGTGATGGCACATCGCGTATATTCAAAAGGAGCTTTCATTGGACTACCCTGATTTTCTCTCTCGATCGTACCAATAACGTTCAACTGAAAATCTCCAATGTTTCCCAGCAACAATGGTGGGTTTTCCTAACTCGCTACATTTCCTAATTTAAGATTCTTCGCATGACTCCTCTAGAGTACTTCTGAGCAATTCAATTACAAACATCTGATGCCTGTTTGGCATGTTCTCGAGTAAAAAATTGTCAAGGAATAATCTGAACATTCATACAGGGTGTGAGTGTGGGGTATGGGGTGCGGGTGTGCTGTGGGTGTGGGTGTGGGTGTGGGGGGGGGGTGTGGGTGTGGGTGTGGGTGTGGGTGTGGATGTGGGTGTGGGTGTGGGGTGTGGGGTGTGGGTGTGGGTGTGTGAGTGTGGGGTGTGGGTGTGGGTGTGGAGGTGGGTACAGAGGGGGCCAATAAGGGAAGTGACATCCACACCCACACCCACACCCACACCCTTCGTGGGTTCCTTGGATTGCGTGAGTTCCGTGGGTTCTTTTTCCCCGTAAGCAACTCTTTTTTCTGCTTGATGTTTGTTTTTCTCTGTGGCTAACCGTGTTTTCCTTTGATCGCTGTTTTTCTTCTTTTTAATATTTGAGTTCAATGAAATCCTCAAGAGTTCAGAACTTACGGAACTTGGCCACTGCTGAAAAATCGGAGAAAATAGTCCAATGACTTTCTCCAAACTTGGTTTTTCTCCGAATTCGAGAGTATTATCCAATATATTTCTCCCAAAACGGAGAAAATTGCTTAGTGAGTTCTCCAAAATTGGAGAAAATTGATCCACCGATATTCTCAAATCCGGAGAAAGTCCCAGCCAAAATTTTCCGGGGCAGGGGTGATCCACCCATCTCCCGGTCGCGCCGTCCCTGCATCTCTTCGAAACCAAGAACACGGAAATATGATTTAATGCACTCTATGGAAGTCGAATTATGCTAATAGGAAAATACGGAAAATTCAGAAAATAGAAAATGTTGAAATGGACGGTTGAATGCTGAGTTTTCGTAGAATAAATCGATCGAATCGGAGCAAGAAGAAAAATAACTTCGAGAAATCAAAAGTGCAGCGTTCGTTTTCTTTCATACCTTGAGGGAGAGGGAGTGATATATATCAGACGTCTCTCATTGTTTTTTCACCTTGATGAGAAGCGAGTGTCATTTTTCTTTCTTTTCATCTTCCAACATGATGGTATGTTTCAAGAAAAACATGCTTCACTTCTTTTACAAACACCTTTGCCTTCAAAGCGCAAAGAACAAAATTTTGCGTAGTGGATTTATTTCTTTACAATTGCGACTCTTCAAAAATGAATCTTGTGACTGTTTCTAACTACCGCTTTCTGGATACACGTGAGTCACATGCTACGCAACCACACCACGAGGCCAAGTTTTCTGTTCCTTTCCCAGCAAGACCCTTCAATAGTCGATCCGATGGCATCCAAAGACCTCGCAGCGAACGTGATTCCCGCAGTGAACGTGGTCCTCGCACTAAACGAGATTCTCCTCCTTTTCCCGTCGCAAAATTTTCGCCAGCAGTATTGAACAGACGACCGAAACACATGGAAGACTTCTCCAAGGTTTTTTCAGAAATCGTGAGTTATGAGTATTTTCCGTTGCGATACGTTGAAATTCATCTACTTGATGACTTCTACGTGAGGAAGGGTTGGATATCCGAAACCGATCTCGAAGAACTGAAAACTTTGTGCAGAAACCGATTCAAAGCATTTACTTCTCGTCCAATCGAACTCCTTCCAAAAATCAAAAAGTCTAGCGATACGTACTACATTTTGATTATTGGTGGTAGTTTTTGCAAGAAAGCTCCCAAGATCATCCGAAGCTTACCGCAGGTGACCCCTACATATGTCCTAGATTTAATGCCCACACTCGATGAACCACCATATGGCACCTACTTTTCTGTCGAAGATATGATGCGTGCAATTAGGCTGCATTTCATAACACACGAGCATAATCAAGTCCATATCATGATGTTTCCTGGAAACATAACCGAGATATCTACGCGCGATTTAATCGGCGCGGTAGGTGAATATAAACTTTTAGAAATCATTTTCGCCGTTCTCATACGAATGGAGCCATTAACCAGAACGCAGAAAGTCGAAGTATACGAGCATTACGTCACAGAATATTCTCCAACTAAGAATAATCGAATCAAAATGAAGGAATGGTTGAATACATATCAAAGCGAGCATGCTGTCCGTTCATACACCTCGGATTCACCGATATACCGTATATTGAATACCATGTTTCGCAAAGATGATGTAAAACAATTGATACCATATGGTTTTTTTGTGGCAGACATGTATTCTCAACTCAGACAACTGCACGATAGATTTATTGAGAAGGCAGTGTCGGAGAATCGAAGGTCGATGATTGTCTATCGTGGCCAACTTCTTACAAGGTCAGAGTTAAATAAACTTAAATCAATGAGAAGCGGAAAAATAGCATTTAATACATTTTTATCGGCCACAGAATCATCATCAACAGCACTAATTTATACTGGAAATGCAGCCGAATGGCCTGGATGTGTCTCAATTCTATTCGAAATAGAAGTCGATCTTACTCGTCGCCAGCGGGAAAAACCGTTTGCCGATGTCAGTGAACACTCACAAATGCCCGATGAGAA